ATCAGGAAGCGGGGAGGGCGGCACGCACCCATCTGCCTGCGATGCACCACGCTGAAGCCCTTTTGTTCCCGCTCGGGCGATGTTTTGGGCTTCCCGCTCTCCGAGGACGGCACCGACAGCCTTTCCAAGTCAAGAGCGCTGATGAGCCCCGGGGCCAGACCCTCGGCAGCCTCCTCCGGCCCGAAGCCGTTGGTGTCGGCCACGCTCTCATTGCTCTCTCCCACAGAAGGTCTGTAGAAATCATCTTCTGAGATCCAGCTCTTTCTTTTCTGTCCAAAAAATATCAATTAAAGTATTAATTATTGAATTTACCCCACACCCTGTTTCCCTCAAGCATGCATGCCCATGGTGACCCCGCCTCAGGACTATAAAATCTAAACTCAATGGGTTCTCTTCCCCTGAAATCATCGAGGGGCTCGGCGGGGGAAGCAGATTCCCTGCAGGAACCACATCTGTGATATTTGGTCCACCAAGGATTTCTGATAGAGGGTGAAAAATCAGCCCTGCCAGGGAAGAGCACGAGCTCACTCGGAGCAGCGATACTGTCCTCGATCCAGGAAGAACGGAGACAGGGAAAGGTACGGGATGACGCAGAGACTGATGGTTTACAAGCAGACACTACAAACGCTGGGTGTAATCACCACGGGCAAAAAGCAAGGCAGGGAAGGCGGAGAAAATTTTGTCTCCGTATGTCAGGAGGGGATGAGACCCACACGCAGAAGGAAGCTGAAAGAAAACACGACCGTTAACTTCTCCGGGGTGTTTCTGGCTACAGAAACAGAGCGAGGTTCTGGGACAAAGGAACACCGGGAGCAAAACCCAGCTTGGTGCCCCGACAAAAAGGAGCAGCTTTCCTTATCCCAGAGCACCCCCCCTTCCAGGGTTGCATCCCAGCAGAAAAAAGCCACTACCCTACCCTGCTTTCCAAGAGCCTTTTATTCTGAATAACAAACCAAACCGACAGCAGAAGAGCTGTCACGACCCTGCGGTGGGGACCGGGGGTGGTTTGCTCCCAACGTAAGGGCAGGCTCAGCTTATTCCTGATTCAGGAACGCAGGTTGCTCCGTGAGTCACGCGAAAGCAGGGGGGGAATTTCCTGTTGACACCGTATGTTATACATAGATTAGGTCAAACTGGCTTGAGGCCCCGAGGAAGTGGTGGAAACGGGATAACTGGGAGCTGAAAGGAGCAGAGAATAAAGAGAAATCGTTTTGGAGGTGGGCTATGAAGTCTATCCTAACCTCACCGGGACAGAAATGATGGGAACCAGGATGGAAAAGTCAGTAACAGGTTAAGGCAGAGGACAGGGCTGTTCAAAGGGGTTCCTAAAAGCAAAAACAAGTGGATCAGCTCCTCGGCGGCAGCAGGGGAAATCCGCCACGGATGAAGCACCAGGGAATGCCATCCTGTTCAGCAAAGAGATGCGCTGCGTGAATATTTTTTCCATGAAAATCGTAATTTGTTGTGTGTCCAGTCAACCCTTTCCTCTTCTCTCAAGTGGATCATAAATAAAGAAAAGTCTCTGCATGAAATTTGCCTCTTGGGCTGTTTTACACATGGCCCATGGTAGGGTTTGTGTAAGAGCTCATCACTCGCCAAATATCGTTAAGAAAACCAAAATATCTTGTTGCAGGCGCTCTCAGTGTGGGACAACTGGCAGGCCAGGCACGGCTTCCAAAGCTTTGGTGCCTCTTTTACGACAGAATATCAATTTTGACTCCATTTTTCCCCGGGCAGGTGCACAGATACAGCTCCAGGGGGTCCAGGAAGATGCTCAGGGAGCATCACTTCCAACCAACCTGCAGAAGCAGTGTGGAAGATGAGAGTTTGAAGAAACTGGTGCCTATGCAGATGTTGTCATGAGGTTTATTGTCTTTTTTTCCATTCGATCAGCTGGTCAGGGAGCCTAAAACC